GCCGTCCGAGTGCAGGTACCCTGCTTGTCCACCGTCGGGTACTGGCATCTGATGGCTGTAAGCAAGGGTTGAAGATTACCGATTTCACTGGAAACGCTTCTGCGATAGTGCAGAACGGCGTCCTTCCTACGGGGGTGTGGATCGCCGGAACACCGCTGGTGAACGCGCAGCGTGCGCCGGCAAACATCCGCCCGGCTTTCCAGTCATACCGGGCCAATGAGGCGATCTCGTGACAGATGCGGAGCGCGTGGCGTTGGGCTGGCTGCTCAGGGGTGAAACATGCCCACCTCCTCTCGTCTTGATTGCCAATTCGTGTTCGACTGTCAGGAATTCATGCTGTGGAGAGCGGAGCACTGAAGCGGTGGTTCGTGCGCGTTTGTGCTTTATGGTGGTTGTGGTTATGAAAGGGTAAACCAACATTCACTGGTACATGCCAATATTTGATGTGTGAGAAGGGGATAGCCCCTCATATAATGCAGTTGCGCCATGCAATTGCCTGTAATCCAAATTTTGTATCACACGATGACCTGTGATGTATAAATGCACCCAATGTAAGCAGCAAATGCTGAAGTTAATGGGTGCAATGGCTTGGTATTGTATTTGAAATTTGTACTTTGACAGCGAGATACAGTATTTTTGTCATTTACGCTAAATCTTGTGCTTAAGCGGCGTGATTATTCAGGATAACGGGCTGACAACTTCATTATGGCAGAATAGAATGGCAGATTGTCCAAGTTTAGTGGAAGATAGTGACACAGAAATATTGTATTCACAATTCATGCCACTTTTTATAGAAATGTGCACAAGTGGAGTATCGTCCAGGGCCGTCCGAGGTCCACTCAGAACTCTCATTGCCGTGAAGAGCCAAGGTGTTTGTAGTTGCATGCAAGTACCGATTATCTATTGTGCAGCTTTTTTAGATGAAAGCTACCTTTTGGAGACATAGTTACCTAGTGTAGCCCAGGGAAAACATTTGTATTCTCCCTATGCCAAAAATCTTCCTAAACTTGCTTTTAGGGAGTACGGTCATAAAGACGCGGGAAAGAGAGATTTTTCAGTGCTCAAGATGGTCGGTTGTGATTGTAGCACACTATCTTCTAGCGGATCGACGACAGATAGCCGGCGCATTTGCTGTTCGGACACCCTGGCGGACACAGCGCCTTGCATTCGCACCGCAGTGACAGCATTTTACAGTCATGTGCGACGCACAAAACGGGCCATTGTGTGGTACAGTTCGGCAGCGCCATGACCTGTCGACACATCCACTATGCCAACTTTTGACCGGCACATCGGTTGACGACCAGGACCCCGACATTGGAAAAGAGACCACACCGGCGTCGCGGCGGCAATTTGTTTCCGCCGGTCCAACTCTGTCGAAGTTCCGTGCGGACACCTCTGCTGGAGAAACCGACGGTTCCTGAGCGTGTACTGTCCCACGGTGTCTGAGACGTCGCCGCCGGCGGGACGGCCGGGGGGGCAATGGGCGGCAGGCAATGTCACCGTGCCATCGCAGCTGTGCTGGCCCTGAGGCGACACTGCTGGCTCTGCGCAGCAGTGGCCGTCAGCATCACAACTTAGGTGCCTAGCACACTGCCTGGCCCTGCCTCTGGCTGCACTGGGGACGGCCAGCTTTAGGCGGACACCGTCGCGAAGGGTTCCGTACGCCAGATGAATGAAGTTATGATGCGTCCTCCGCCTCGGGTTGATGCTGGCAGTCCGGTGGCTGCACTGCACCCAGCAATGACTCTGTATATATATATATATATATATATATATATATATATATATATATATGCATATAAGCTTATTACTATTACAGGAAGGTTTACCTGAGCGAATGTACGTGGCCGGCCCATAGGCCAGCCACGGAACCAATGGTCGTGGATGGCTTATGGGCCAACCAAGCTTCTCCAGGAATGATTAACCCACAGTCCATGTCACTGGGTGGCAAGTTAACAGTGCTGAGCATCGCCGAATTCGTGGAGTGACCTGGGCGAAAATTATGTTGCTCGGGACACATTGCGTGTCGTTTGGACACGCTATGTGATATGATACAGGGTGATAACCAGGGTGATACAGGGTGATATATACAGACACGCATGATACAGGGTGATTGCCAAATATTCCCTCGCGAAGTTTGCCTACCACTGACAGGATCGAAATGGGCCGGAAGTTATGTGGGCTATTCTGAACGTCCCTTTTAAACTAAGGAGTCACGGTAGCTGCTTTCCACGCAGGTAGCAAATTTCCAAACACTAACGGACTATAAGCAACGTGCAAAAGATGAGGCGTAATTACAGGTAAGATGGATCTGAACAAATGCACGGTCACGCGGTCTACAGCAAAGCGGCTGCACTCGCCGCCTTAGCCGTGCTAGGCCCCACGAACGCGGAATGCGGGCTCGGGCAATCCGCCGACGCGGAATCGGCGGTAATGGTGACGCTCACCTCGGGCTCCGGCTTTTGGCTTTGGCTTTGGCTTTTGTACTGTGCACTTGGGTATGCTTTTTCCAGTAAGCATTCTTCGGGCTGAAAGAGGATTGCTTAAAGTGATAATATTTGGAGGTGGCCAGCCGACCCTTGACAGCGTTTCGAAGTTCAGGGTATGCCGGCCAGGTGGCCCTCCGAGGGTTTGAGTCCTTGTCGGCTCGGGTGTAGTTTTATCCTGTATCGGCTGTCTGAGATCTTCATCTTGACTTATCGAGAGACGACGGTAGATCTCGTACCTTTTTCTGAGAGAATGGCACATGATGGTCGATGAGGTCGTTCCACACAGACAGTCAGGCGTCATACTTCTCGGCAGGCGAGAGCGCGCTGCAGGCAGACGACCGGTCAGCTGTCGGCGGGTCGAGACAGGGATGTTCTTTACTCAGATGTTTCGTTGATCGCACGATGGTCCGACGAGGTGAGCGCCGAATCGAGCACCCGTTACTCGAGCGGTGACGACGTCGTGGTCACTGATGTCGCATGCGACGACGCGGGTCAAGTCGCAGAGATTGGGGGGACGTGTGATCCGATGCTCCACAAGCGATGGGTTGAGTTCTTTGAACTATTGGCAGGTATCGTGACCAGCTGACGGAGAGGCGGATCATTCAAGTAGGTCGAGGTACCGCTGGACACCGGGCTTGCCTGGCATCAACACGTCCAGGCTTAAGTCCCTCAGGAGATGCATTCCTTGCCCTTTGCCGACGACATGCGTGAGTTGATCGCGCAAGTGCCGTCCAGCGCAGGTAGCAACGGTCCATTTGGAGGCCTGCAGGCCGTGCCGAAGGTCGATTGTCAGCGTTGAGTGAAGTGGAGTGATCATCACTCCAGACGGGAGCCTTATGACGGGACAGCAAGTGTCACAGTTTGTAGCGTGTCTCTATAGATGATATGCACGCCACCGCCGTGAGTTCCACCGTCTCGTGTGACGTCACAGTAGCCCGGGAACAGCAGATATCTGTCGTCAACGGCTGCAGTCAGCCAGGTTTCACCCAGGCACAGTATATCGGCGTCATGCCTTGTAGAAGCAGGTTGACATCATCTAGAGACGGCATCAGTGACCGGACATTGAGATGCCCGACCGTGATCCGGGTGGCAGCGGCGGTGGCCGGTGGCTTCACCGCAGGCCCGCTGGCGGCAGCGCTCGCACGCACAGACAGCCGGGCAGGCACCGGCCGAGCGCGCTGGTATTGTGGCCCCGCTGACGGGCTAGCAACACGGGCGGAGCGACAGCAGCGCACCTGGCCACGACGGCTAGTGCGGGTGCCGCTCCTCGCTCCCCGTGGTGGCACGCAACCGCCCCTGCCGCCTTCCGGCCGGCCGGGCCGCGGCGGTCGCAGCTCCCCCAGGCCAGGCTAGGTGTCGTAGAACAACAGCGCAGGCGGAGTTGACCGATGTAGTGGGCAGTCCACCGATGACTTTGTTATATCTTCTCTCAGATTGGTGTAGCATGGTGTGAGCGGGCGTCACCTGACCCTTGGAGTGTCACAGGTGACGACTGTGGCGCAGACGAGGAGGACAAAGTGACGGCAGTTCCACACGAGGCTCAGCTCACAGCACATGACTGTCACTGCCACGAAAAAGCTGGCAATCTTGTACAGGTGCTGGCGCACTTTGCGCTCTCTTAGAGCTGTAAAAGAACGGCAAGGGCGGTAATGCGCGTTCTTTACAAAGTATGGGAGATAAACAAACGAAACAGGTCAAGGGCGGCTAGCACATATCCAGGCGCCGTGCTCCGTGGCAGATGGCATGCCCCGCACTTCCGTTGGTTTCAGCGAAGGAGGTATAAGACAACAGCCCAGTAACAAATATGTAAAAATGAGCTTTACTTCTCAAGACTGGTCATAGCCAGAGTTACTTGCGTGGCAAGGTTGGGTGCCGGTATGTAGACGGGCAGTGAATTTGTCGCTCAGATTGTCATGCGACCCTCACTTTCGTTTCTGGCATAATCCAGCGTAGCTTTCTCGAAAGGAAAGTGGTTTCGTGTTGAAACCAACGGTCGGATGGAATAATGGCGGGACGTTTGGGAAAAGGCGCCTAATTCTTCTCACACCAAGGGTAATAAGTATAATTGACATGCAGCAAAACCAAAGTTGCAATTAACCCGTTGTGCAATTAACACCGTTATAACAAGGTTAATTGCAGTTGAGAAAGGAAATTCGGATGCCAAAGTATGTGACACGACAAACATACTTAGTTTCACCGTGTCCATAAATGCACCCAGCGATTGCGCGAAAAGAACTTGGCAGCGAGTGCAACTTGTCTAACGAATTTACTCATTTGTGCAATTTACTCATTTGTGTACGCATGCTCTAATGCACTCATTCGTGCATTAGAGCATGCGCGAAATAATCGACAACACTTGACATGCGATTGTTGCAATTATTGAGACTTGTCCAACATCCACTGTTGTGGGGATTATTAAATCCCCGCTCCGCATCATGTCACGTCATACATTGTTTACAGCTCTATAGTCTTGGTATGCGCCAGATAACGGACATATTTCAGCCGGGACACGGGTTCTCGAAGTGTGTCAACAGATAAGCAGATACGCATAGAGTATGTAAGCGGACATGCGCGACCCCTTGCCAGCACTGCGGGTTGGGATCTCATCACAGCCAGGTGAGGACGCTGGTGAGGAGGCGTCCGTGGCTGACGCTTACCCCCGTCCGGCACGCATCCTCCCCCGCTCGGCAGAGTGGCGTGCGGCGCCGTCAGTGGGGTCCCGGTGTGTTCATCGCTGGCGGTGGGGTCTGTTGGCTGCAGGCCGTCCTTGCGAGTGGTGACCTGCCGGCCGGTGACCCAGGTCTGCCAGGACAGACCGGTCGACAGTGGTGCGAGTGACCCCGTGCGCCGCTGGGACTGCCGGCTGGTGGGGGAGTGACCGGGCCAGGGGCGCCGAGCTGGCGCCGAGCTGGCGCCAGTCGGTGTAGTGTGACCTGGAATTTTCGTTGAGGTACATTGCAATGATCGGAACAGAAACGAAACCTTAAAACGAGATGGTCCAGAAGATGGTCCAGACACCTTGTATGGCTGGGGATATGGTTTTGAGGCGAGATGTGTAGTACTCTTTTTTGACCGCTGTACCAGTGGTGTGCGAAGCTAGCTATCCTAATCATATTGTGTGTCGCGCGGTGCGCGAAAACGTCCTGTTCTGAACGTGTCGCGAATTTTGTTGTCTCAGCTCTGCCTGGATGTGAATCATTTGTGATTGGCCAACTGCAGTTTCAGAATTCGAGATGAAGGTGATTGCGTGCATTGTGCTGGCGTTGTCAGCCGCGGTGGTTGCCGGTGAGGGCTTCTATCCTGATTCGACCCATTCGGCACCCAGCGCGTACAGCAACTATAATCACTACGACTACCAGACGGCTCCTGAAGACGGGTGGGTCAATTTGCGTAGTTCTGCGCTCCTGCGCTTAGTTTGTCGTTATGGGGTTATCAGGGATACGGCAACTGTCGCTGATTGCCTCATGCTTGTCAGGATGTGTCTTTAAATAGTGTCTGACGGCGTCAGTCCACCTGCGATTGGACGCCCTTCTCGGGCGACGTGTGATGGATGATAACGTCGGCATGCTGGTCGAGATGCATACAAGACCACTTTTGCAGTGTGGGTCAAGTACAAAACGGAGGTGCATCGCGATGGAAAAACGGCAATATCAGGTATCCTCCTCTCTGGCAGGTGTTGCTGGGACAGGAACATATCCGAATGTCATGCTCAAGAGCTAGTCAAAATGATGTACTGCATTTCAAATATGTTTCCGCTATCGACACCTCAAAACTCATCAGCATCTAAAAACCAACATTTTGAACAAGGCACACCTGTCTAGCGAGCCCCCACCAGTTATGTATTTTAAGTTTGATTAGCCGTTGTTTTAGGTCTGAGTCCAGTTTGAAACTGACTGGACTACTCCAAATTGCTTGCAAACAAAAGGCCATCGTGAAAATGAATGTCGCGCGTGAGGCTTCGCGTTGACATGTCTGTCGTTTCAGCGTGTGGAGACGCCTGTTTGGATCCAACCGGCGCCAGGGACTCCTCGGAGGCCTGGGAGGACTAGTTGGCCCCGGTGAGACATCCTTTGCGCTCCTTCAGCCGGGAGAATTGGAGGTATTGTGAACTCTGCTGGTAAGCTTTTTTGGCAAGGTTGACTACCTTTGCTAACAGCAATGCAAGGCGCAGAGAACAGCGCTGTGACGCAGGACCACGTGGCAGTACGCTGCGTGGTTGGGTGGCTGTTTTTGTAGCAGTGTACGTCATCCCTCTTCGTGTGCTGTTCGCTTCAGTACAGGCCTGTTGCAATAGCGGATGGTCGCCTCACTAACGCCGCTGTCGGTGTCGACAGGCGTTCTGATTGGTGTGCTGCTTGCCATCATCCTGACTGCGGCTGGCCTCGGCTACATGATGGCCAACATCAACTCATCCGGCCGAGGTCTGGACACGGACGACTGGGAGGTGAACCACTCGGTCTGGCTGGACCAGCTGCAGCGGGACTTCGAGGCCTCGTGGTCGACGGATTAGGCCCCAGAGATGCACTGATTGCGCACGTCACCCCAGGAGTCTGTCAGCACTGTTCCCGTGTCCAGCCAGCGACGTCCACCCTGCTTTGCGGGCCGCATGATGCAGCGCAGCCTCGATTGTTCTTGTTTTCTCGTCTGAAAGGTAATCGAGAACCGAGTCAGAGGATCTTTCTTTATTCACTCTGCAGCCTCATGCACAACCTCTCAGGTCAGTTCATTGGGGCTACTGCTAGGGCTGTGGGCCGGGAATTCCGCCATTTTCAGAAAGTGTTTGCTAGATGTTTGCAGTGACCCTCCTCCCCCTCCCCAGTGCAATCCCAGCACTGTGCCACACTTCTGTCAGGCACGGATTCGTGTTGAAGTCAGCCTTGGGTGCGTTTCCCCAATGTTGATACGAAAGACTGTCACGGGCCATTTACCCGACCGTACCAAATGAGTTCAGCCATTTATGTGGCATTGATGATATGGCGTGGGTTGAATCCCCTTACTTTTACGAGGCAGCTGGCTTGTTATCTTGGCCAATTTCTCCTGCACAACTACTGCTTGTTATTGCGTTGTCATTTGGTCCTGTCAGTTCGTTGTTGTTATTTTTGCGATTATGAGCTATTGTTAACCAGGGGAAAAGATACAGGGAGCTTGTTGTTACGCCTGTGTTGTTGATAATTACCTTGATCTATATGATCTGTTGTTTAAGACGCTCATCGTGTGAAATACATTCCCATGAATGCATCGCTTGTACCGTACCAAATCATTAATCACGTCGATCGTTTATGGATATTCGAGGCGGAGGATGAACGAAAAATACGGTGCTTTCGAGAACGAACGCTTTCGGAGACCCTGCACACCACTAGGGGAACACTTGGTACACAGTTACGTGAAAATGCAGCATTGTGCAACATCGGCTTAAGAGTATACATTGTGCAACATCGGCTTAAGAGTATACATGTTGCCAACGGTACAACACAATGCAAGCCTCAATATATCAGAATCACTGCACATCCGTGATTTTCATCCGAGCGAAATACACGACGCCTTGAAAGGTGGCCTGGATGGGGTTTTCACGTAGGACTCGCTTAAAAGCAGTTCGCTTGTAGTTGCTTTGAGCACTGATGTCCTTCAGCAACTTGATTCCTAGCATTCTACCCATTGCAAGTCATACAACTTGTTGGCTTATCCAGTTATGTGTTGGGTAGCCTGGCACGGTACCGTGCATAGGTCGCTAGGATGTGGAAGCTAGAAGGGTTTCTTATCCTAGTGTAATTTTATCTGCAGTTTGAACATATTTAGAGCATTTGCATTTCTGCAGGCAACACAGATAATTCAATGTCCTGAGTGCAAAGGCGACATAAAGCCTGGTGCTCAGGGGCGTTACTTTGCATACTTTCGAGAGGCCTGACCCTCCCCAACACAGACATAAGCCCCTTTAGTCCTCTTCTACCCCTTCCCTCAATGCGCACGAGCAAAAAATGGAATACTGAGCTATGAAAAGCTGCCCAGTATTTCTGAACTACTGGTATACCAGGCGTCTAACTACATCGCCATCAATATCACGCTCATGTTGTGCCAAATAGCATCCCATGGGCGCCTACTAAATACGCCTACCAACTTTTTGTCATGCCAACTTTCCCGGGTGTTATGGCCGTCTGCAAACGTTGGCGGGTTTTTCATCAAAAAACTTAATTCAAACACAACTTCCTGGTGCCTGAAATTCTATTATTTCACCATGAAAACTCCCAACCGACAGCGTCGAAACACCAAAAAGCAATACCTCTCCTTTTTATGCAGCTTCTAGCACGTGCCGCAGCGTTGGTCGCACCACATTCCAAACGGTCACTACGGGAACATTAGTCACCAGCCCTAACCTGATGTATCCTTCCAATTATCTACACGTTCGTTGAAAAGGTCGTGCAGTCAGTTTCAGTTTTGCATATAAATACATCTAGGCAGGATACACGAGTTTTATAGCACCTCGTCTGTGGCCGTCAGGTAATATCGTTCCGCATAAGTATGTTTTCTGCACCTCGTGCCACCATCGGCGAACGAAAACATCGATTTTCGTGGAATGCAGTCAGTCGGTTTGCCTACACACCTAACATTTTGCAAATATTGCAATAACTTTAAGCTGACCTTCCCAGCAGCAAGCTGCTCTTAGCTGGGTGGACTTCCTGGACATTCAGCTCAAAACCAAGTATGAAAATGACCAGTTAATCGCACCCCCCCCCCCCCCCGCACACACACCTGTGTGCCTGTACAATCCTTACTAACACTGTGAACGAGTGGCAGCAACTTATTGAGCTTTTCTAGCGGGCTGTCATTAGCTGACTTTGGCTATGACTACCTTAAACGTTCTGATGTATGATTTGTCCTTGCCTTTTGCACAACACAATTCCTGCCGGCTGTGCACCACCTCTCCGCCTGCTTCTCAATGTTTGTTTCCTTTTTCTAGCTAGGAGTGTTGCGACTTGATTTTATGTTTTCTGGTGTTAACGCACGGTTTATTACGTCACTTGGATTGAGGGAGGAGCCACTCCTGGTTACCTGCTCTTCAGTAACGATATAGAAATAAAAAAGATAAAAGCTAAAAAACTACTCTCTTTCAGAGATATCTGCGTTTGTTAGATTGGGCCATTCCCGATGAGTCATATAGTGGCTTCACTGCTCAGGAGAAGAGCTAAAGTCGAGTTACAGACCAAACAACATTGGGAGGAGTTCGTGGAATGGTTCTTCTCCTGCCACAACCGTATGGCGTATGTCGGGTTATGGCGTGCCCTCCAGAGCAACTCGTCTGTCTATATCTCTCATCACCTTGTGTCTTTAAGTTCCAAGCGCTATATTGAAGTTAAACTGCCAAAAGTTGTCCATCATTACCCAATTGCCAGTGTTCCTACTGGTTCTCGCCACGTTTCCCTTCGTTTGCTGCGTGTGTTTGTTCCAGTTTTTTCCATAATTCACGCTGGACATGTCCTTCTCTTGCTTTGTCACCTTCGGCGTGCGATTTCTGCCCTCTGGCCCGCTCCACCAGCGGTACACAGCATCCAGCTGGCTTTCAACACGTTGAGCTGTGTTCACACGAGGGGTCCGGTGGCACTCAGCTGGAGTGGCAGCAGCGGACAACTGAGACGTCGTCGCCGTGCAGTCCAGTGTGGCTCTTCGTCCTCAGTCATCGCCCTGGGGCGTTGCCCGTATAACCAATGCCGCCCTCACTTCCGGCAGCACCTTTCGCAAACACCTTGTTTTGTTTTGTCTCCGAGCATGACCAGCTTGGCTGTGAATGGTGTAGTGAGGGGATGTATCATAGCTGAGATTCACACAAAGGTCGTGGAGACAAGTCTGTTTTGTTTCTGGGGAACAGCTGTTATGAACAGACCAAAATATAAGTTTCCTCTTACACCTGCTAAACCCAGTTCAGGTACAAACAAAATAATTGGACGGATGTCCTACAGCGCAAGCGACAGCAGCGATGCTCAGTTTTTCCAGGCATACCACCAGGGGGGGGGGGGGGGGGCGGGTAATTTCGTCAGGGGAGGCGCCATACGTCACTATGGTGGCCACTGAGGCTTGGTGTCAGCAAGATACAATTCATCATGTCTTTGGAAGCGAGCCAAATGTGAAATAAACCACGGGCGCGTTTCACCGCACAATGTTTCATTTGTATCTTTCTATTAAACAATAACGGACAGAAGCGTTGCCGGATTTTCCCGGGGTCTTTCAAACGTGTTCAGGAGACAGTGAAATGAACGCCAGCGTAAAAAGGAGCAGGGTAAAAAATTGCATTGAAATGCCTTACCCCTGTTCGCCTGAGGAATGTTCTCCATTCCTTAGAATTCTTCGGCGAAAAATATGTGTACAATAGCTTCAAGCATGTGCGCGTTCTGAGCCTTCTACCGTGATTCTACCGCACAGCCTACTACTGAGATGCTACCGTGGTCTCGATCCCACCGACCGGCAGCTGTGAGTGGTGCCTGGTGACGCTGGCCGCCTTGCCTGGCCCCTGCTGTCCCCGCGCCAGATGAGCCGCGCGCCGGCAGCGGCGCCGGGCGTCAGGCAGTGCCAGTGGTAATTTCGGTGGGGGCACGGCGGCCCCGGCCGGCCGTCACCTGTCGTCTGGCCACCACCTCCGTCTAGACAAGTCCTCGCCATTAGCCGTGGAACCCAGCCGTCAGCTGGCCGCGCTCGGTGAAATCGGCATTCACAGCTGGCTGGAGACCCAGTCTGCCCGGCTTTTCAGACAGCATCCGTCTATGTATATCGATTCAAACTAGGGGCACGCCATTCACGTACGACTGGCCAAGATTGTGCTGGTTTCGCACAGATATCCTCACACAGCTTACGCTATTCGGGTCTCGATATCTGGTGTACAGGACAATGCCAACAGGGCAATGTGTGGGCAATGAGTCCCAGGTCAGTCATGGGCGCATTTGCTGATAGAGCCATAGATGGGACCACGGATGTTAAAGGGACTCTTACACTGGTCGGGGTCCTCCTGACAATGCAAGGCTATATGAGAAATAGCGATGCTAGGCTGGCATTTACAATGAGACAATGGCCAGGTCGTTTGTCAGTCGGAAGCCCCAGTACCGAACGAGGGGTACTCCGCACCGTGTCAGCCAGGACCCGACAAGCCAGATTAGTGTCTCGGTACTAGTAATTGGACTTCCTGCGCCGGTAAGGAATCCTTTTGCATCAATCAGTGTCCTTGCGTCGATCTGGCGTCGGATGTTCCGGTCAGAGGGCCTGCCGCATCATCAGGGGCCGGCATGCGATGAATCCATCTGAGGATCTCCGCAGGGGTGTAAAAGGCAGGCCACGGCCTCACAATCTCCCCTCCACTAGATGTCTCAGTCAACAGATTTAGTCTGCTCTGTTTTCATTGCTGGAAATTTCCATTCTTTAGTATTTTGTCAAGCAAACCTTTACTTGAGCAGCATTGTGGTCATGGCCAGTGAGTAAACCCCAGAGAACATAGTCTTTGTGATAAACTTAGCTATTTCCTAATATTTTGCTATCACCACGGTGGAAATATTATGGGAAGGAGCCATCACTAGTGGGCTCAATTCAACATTGGGGTGGGGTAGGGCTCCCGAAATAATTTAAAATGACACTCCTGCATCATGCACGACAAGCAGCATAGGTGTGGTTATATTTGTTTGTTGCCTAGTGTGCTGAAGGCTATTTTACCTCACTGACTTAATCAGTGCCAATGTAAGCATACTGCTGATGGAAGTGTTGTTATGATGTACTAGCTTATTTGTTTTCATGATCTGAAATCCAGATTTTTACAACAGCGTAGGTAAAATAGATAAGAATTATTATAGCTAAATACGTTAACCTTTCCCTGATTCGCCGCGCTTCAGAACGTCGACTAAGAGGGGGATGATATATCCGTCATTTCCAAACTAAGGAAGACATAGCCTCACGTAAAAAACGAAAGTGGACTGCTCTCAATGAGATATCGCGTGTTGTACTAAATTCCATGTTGCCACTTGGCCCCATTAGGCCAAGTCCCCTATAAAGCTTTCATGCAAATCGGACTGCTTCAGCTTTGCGTCCTGATGTACACAAAATCATATTGCGTAGCGACGGGGAATATAAAAATGTATGTCTTGTTTCATTTTGAGGGTGCTTTGCTTCGCCAACTGTTTGTTCCTCTCATCAAGAATCGTGATAGCCACGCCGAAAAATTGTCCCCGTTCACATTTTGGTGACTTGTAGCCAGTTTCTTCAACAGA